TTTCTGCCAGGTAACTTCATTTCTTTATCGTTCAACTGAATATATAAAAGGAAGTTCTCTTTTGCTTTAGGGAAATATATTTTTAGCGACTCGGTTCAAATGCTACTTCTGGAGTAATTACATAGAATATCTCGTTTGAAACAGGCTTGACCTACAGATAGTCTTAGTGAGTTAGAAAGTTAATCATCAAATATATTCTATTATTTCGACCCCGGCCAGACGAAGACAATTCATTACCGTTTCATACCGTTTTAAATTAGTTTCCACAAATTTATGTTTTTTTTTTTTTTCTTTTTTCAACACACTTCCTCAAAGCGTGTCTACCATTCAATGAAAATTCGGCCATTGTTATATTAGAGAATTTTTTCAATTTTTTTTTTCTCTTCATTATTTATATTATTCGGACTGTTAATCTCATCTTCATTGCCATATTCACAAACGTTGTACGCTCCAGCCTTCTTCATATGATTGGAATTTCGAACCGAAGCTTTTATTTCGTCCACCGGGGTATGCTGTTCTATTTCCACGTGCCATGCCTCTTCCGGATTTCTCATTTTGTCCATTAGATTCAAATCTCTAAATTTGGTTCACCACTTCTGTGGCCTGGGATTGAACTCGCAGTTGTTTGGTTATAATCACTGGATCTAACCAGCTTCTTCATCCATTGGGCCAATCACTTGAAGAATGCCGGTGTGTACAACGGCTGAAGCGTTGTGAATATGGCATTGAATTTGAGCATAATAGTCTGAATAATTTAAATAATGTTAGTAATCATAATACCTCATCTCAGAGATATAGACAGAGTTTTTTTTTTGTTTGAATATGTAATTTTCGTAATTTATTTTTCTTAAATGACAGTTTCATTCCCTTCATTCTCTTATCATATTTATTTTTTCCAAATAAAACTTAGTTTAGGCTCGTGCCTCCAAGTGATCCGAACTTGCAAAGACTGAACTCATGATATATATAACAAGTCCTTCAGACAATCTTCTTAACCATCGCTCTCAGCAACACTATTCCAAATGCTCTTTCCAGATCTATACAAAACACAGCTTAATAGGTCACTATGTCAAATTGTGATACATTTTTGTGGAAGAACTATGATCTCTTAATATCTCAACTCCCAAGTGCTTTCAAAATTGTCGATTTTTTTTTAAATCACGGATTTGAACACCGATATGTAGCATGGTTTACTCCCCAATCGTAATTCAGTTATATTTCGTTGTTTTCCAATTTTCCTTTTGCTCGTGTTTTATTAGTTGTTGCCTTTTCCTTGAATCGGTTGTTTTTGTTGTATTTTATAGATTTTTTGTTAATATTATTGGCTTCATTTCCGCCATTTTCTTCTCTACCCGTTTAATTATCTCTGTTTTGTTTAATTTCTCTTATTATGAATCACTGGGAAATATTAGGGCATCCAAAATCCATTTGTGGGTAGATTTGTTTTTCTATATTAACTTTAGTTCTTTTTTTATTGTTTTGCATCGTAGAATTACAACGCCGTTTCATTTCCTTTCTTTTCTTTCTTTCTCTCTTTCGATTACTCTTCGCTTTTCACCGTCAATTTTTGACTCGTTATTCTTTCTTTCCTTCTTTCTTTCCTTCTTTCTTTCCTTCTTTCTTTCTTTCTTTCTCTAATTAATTCTCTCTTTCTTCGGAATGATTTATTGTTGAGTTTATTTCTTTAATTCATCTTTTACTCTTTCTATTTTGGTTTAATCTTTTCTTTCTTTCTTTCTTTCTTTCTTTCTTTCTTTCTTTCTTTCTTTCTTTCTTTCTTTCTTTCTTTGTACATCTCAAAATGTCTAATTACTTGTTTACACAACCTCATAGTTATAGATATCTTTATTCATTTTCTTTTACGTTTCATTTCTTTCTTGGTTGCTTATTTCTTTCCTTCTTCTGTTTTCCCACCCTTAATTTTATAACCTTTCTTCTTTTTTCTTCCCTTTTTTACATTTTTAATCCACCATCTTTCGTTTCTTCGTACTAGTTTCTCTTTCTTTCTTTCTTTTTTTACTTCTTTCTTTCTTTCTCTCTTTCTTTCTTTTTTTCTTTCTTTCTTTCTTTCTTTCTTTCTTTCTTTCTTTCTTTCTTTCTTTCTTTCTTTCTTTATTCCGATCTTCCGCATATCCTAATTATTTTCCAAATATGTTCAGTTCTTTCTTTGTTTCTTTGTTTCTTTCTTCTTTCTTCCTTTCTTCCTTTCTTTCTTTCTTTCTTTCTTTCTTTCTTTCTTTCTTTCTCCCGATCTTTTACATATCCTAATTATTTTCCAAATATGTTCAGTTCTTTCTTTCTTTTTCTTTCTTTCTTTCTTTCTTTCTTTCTTTCTTTCTTTCTTTATTCCAATCTTTCGCATATCCTAATTATTTTCCAAATATATTCAGTTCTTTCATTCTTTCTTTCTTTCTTTCTTTCTTCTTTCTTTCTTTCTTTCTTTCTTTCTTTCTTTCTTTCTTTCTTTCTTTCTTTATTCCGATCTTCCGCATATCCTAATTATTTTCCAAATATGTTCAGTTCTTTCATTCTTTCTTTCTTTCTTTCTTTCTTTCTTTCTTTCTTTTCTTTCTTTTTTTTTCTTTCTTGCTTTTTCTTTCTTTCTTTTTCTTTCTTTTTCTTTCTTTTCTTTATTCCGATCTTCCGCATATCCTAATTATTTTCCAAATATGTTCAGTTCTTTCTTTCTTTCTTTCTTTCTTTCTTTCTTTCTTTCTTTCTTTCTTTCTTTCTTTCTTCCTTTCTTTCTTTCTTTCTTTCTTCCTTTCTTTCTTTCTTTCTTTCCTTTCTTTCTCCCGATCTTCTGCATATCCTAATTATTTTCCAAATATGTTCAGTTCTTTCTTTCTTTCTTTCTTTCTTTCTTTCTTTCTTTCTTTCTTTCTTTTCTCCTAGCCATGCTAATCTCCCTTTCATTTTTCTTTATTACTTTGTGTAATTTCATTCTTAATCTTCTACCTTTTCTTTCCTCTTCATTTCTATATTTCTCTTATGTAATTCAGATGCACTTTATTTGCATTCTTATCTTCTGTTTCATGTTTTTTCTATCTTTCTTTTTGTTCCTCTCTTATATTTTTGGTAATTGATGGAATTATACGTTTCCTTATTTCATTTATTCATTTGCCTCGTTCTTTCTAGGATTTTATATTCTTAATGAATCGTCGACATTTTTTTCCCAAATTTTCCTTTTTTCCTTTCTTAGGATTTCTTCTTTCATTTCTTTTATACTCCTTCTTTTATAAAGTCAGTCATTCATACATTCTTTCATTCCACCTTTATTTTATTTTCTTACGTTCATTCTCAGCATTTCTTCAATTCGTCCTGATTTCTTCCAATCTGTTGTCATTCAATATATCACCCTTTTCTTTCAATCTATTTATAAGTAAACACCTTTTTTTTTAATTGGATATATGGGAAAAAGAGAAAATATTTAATTTTCTTTTTCTTTTTCTATCTTTTTTTTTAATTTCCTTCTATTAGTTTCTTTCTCCCCGCTTCAAAAGGAATATTTTTACTGCGTTTTGAAAGGTGAATACAAAAAAAAAAAAAAAAAAAAAAGAAAGAAAGAAAAAAAAAAGGAAAAGAAAAGAAAAAGTGAATAGTGCAAAAGAAATGATTGTATTTTTCTTTCCCCCTCCTCCCGCCGGTTGCCATTCAGTTCTATGCGTTCTGATTGGTGGATTCCCATGTTTCCTTTGATGTTCATCCAATTAGCACTTATCGCATAAACTCTTGATTCAATTCGAGGTCTGTCGATTGGAATTCTCTCAAAAGTACCGATGATTCGGGCAAGATGAAGAGCGAGAGTGTTGGTGAAGGGAGGGACAAAAGGTGAAGACTAAACTCGAATTTCATTTTCATCAACTTCCGGTATGAGCAGAAAGATATATATATATATATATATATATATATATATATATATATATATATATATATATATATATATATATATAGAGAGAGAGGAAGGGAGAAGAGGGATATATATATATATATATATATATATATATATATATATATAGGATGAAAAAGAGAGAGGGAGAGAGAGAGAGATCGGTGGATTAGGATTGAAACTGAGAAAGAAAAGAAATAATGTCAGACAGGACGTGATGAAGAGATTGTAAACATTGAGGCAATTAAGATTAGGGAAATTGTATTAAAATACGAGATAATGAAAGATAGAGAGGTAGACTGGAAACTAAAATGAATGATTAGCGAAAGAGAAAAAAATAACAAAAACGAGGAAAGAGTGATCGTTTACAAGCAAAAGAGAAAGATAATCAAGAAAGAAAAAAAACAGAACGAACGAAAAACGATTTAAACAAATAAACAAAAGGCGAAAGAGATTGGGAATAAAGAAAATAAGGAATAGAATAAAATAATTTGGGGGAGAAGGAAAAAAGAACGAAAATACGAAGGAGAAATAGAAAAAAAATAAGGGGTATTGCAGAAAGACAGATATACAAATAGAAAGAAATATGTAAATAGAAGAAAAAAGAATGAAGAAAACGATTGGAAAGAAAGAAGAAAATATATTTAAGAAAGGAGAGGCTAACGAAAGAATAGAAAATGGACGCACAAAGAGAGAAATAGGGTGGCAGACAGACAGACAGAGACTGAAAATGTGATTTGCTGAGAGAAAGAAAAATAATTCAATCAAATCGACCGCCTATTGAGATTAGTAAAGGATAAATATATATGATCAATGGTAAAGAAACTGTTACGAAAACAGTCAATGAATAATAATAATAATAATAATAATAATGATAATAGTAATGATGACAATCGACCAGACATTATTATGAAAGACAAGAAAGTTTGCACACTGATTGACATGAGCTCGCAAAGTGATAAAAACATCTCTGTTAATGTTTTTAAAAAAACTAATCAAATTCAAAGACTTGGAAATAGAAATAGAAAAATTGTGTCGCTGAAAAATTAAAACTTTTCCTTTCGTGGTTGGAGCTTTGGGTCGGATAAAGAAAGGAATTCAAGAACAATACAAGAAAATTCCAGCGAAGAGATTTGCCTATTTGGCAACAATATTCAAAGAATGGACGAAAATAATACTATAAATATGTAAGAAAGATTACGGAGAAAAAATTCTCCAGCACGACACAGTGAATCACCTTTCGCAGGAGAAAACCTAACAGAAGAGTGCAGTCCTTCAAAATGCCCGTGCACTTTGAAAAGTTCACAAATCAAGATAAATACAGCAGTCTCTTGTTTGTTGATTGCGGGTTCATTTGTTGTATATCTTGCATAATTTGCTGTGTTTTCAATCAAAAAACAAACAATAATAACAACAATAATGATACACCTACAGCAGAAGTCGAGTTAGCTATGTGCCATGCTTCATACACGCTTAGGTGATCATGTATCTTTCAATTCATGGCTGACTAGGCAGATTTTCTCGAGGTAGATTGACATTTCTTTCTGTGGTAGAATAGTTATCATTCAAGGCTATAGCCCCGGTCTGTCCTGCCATTTACTCATAGCTGGTGAGGAGGATTCATACCTTTCCCAAGTTATGTAAGTCAATGTAATGGATTCGACTGGAATTTGAACTCGGCTCTCTCGATTCCTCAATCCGAGCCGCTATACATTACTCCACCGCACCTCCTAAGCGGAGGTAAAAAAAAAAAAAAAAAAAAAAAAAAAAAGCAAATGCAATGTACTAAATGCAGTAACGATGATACAAGATAAGCCTTATACTACTTAATACTCTGCCCGTAACAGACAAGCCGTTTTAGAGAGACCCCGTACCCAACAGTGGTTACATACTGCAAGGATAAAAGCTGAAACCAAAGGTTTTGTTCTTGCAGGACCAATCCTTGCTAACTAGAAATTAGTAAGAGCACATACAGAAAAATGTGTTAACCTGTTAAAAAAAAATATGACTATTTTGTGTCAGGTTGTACGATGTTAGCACCCACTTTATATAAAACTCAACGGAATAGAATGGGCCAATATCTGCACAGAAATATAAGCAACTTTTACGAGAAGCAAACTTTAAAAAAAACTCTGATATGAACGTCATCCAGACCAGGTTACACCCACAGAACCTGTAACAATGAGATTTATGAGACAGAACAATCGAAGCTAATCGCCTAGACATCATGATCAAAGACTACAAAATGTGTTTTCTTATTGACACGTCAGTACATGCAGATTGTAATTTATCTTTGAAGATCTTCAAAACATTAAATAAAAGGATCTTAAAGTGGAAATCTTAAAATGTGGCTCATGAAGACACCAATAATTCACGTTGGAGTTTGAGGTCACCATGGACTTATTGAAGGGATTCCTGGTAGCCTATGTCTTAAATAAATGAAAAAATGATCCTCCCAAATACAGGATGCACATTACGAAGAGATTTGGTGAAATGTGTGTGTCTTTCGTTCTTTTATTTATTTTTTCTTTACAAAATTGGTCAATGGAAAAAATCATGAAGCGAGATCTCTGGTTGGAACCTGGAAGAAAATATATATACAACATAAATCAAAGAAAAAATAATTTTGCTACTCATATAACTAATACTACCGGTCCACTACTACAACTGCTACTACTATAACTACTACTACTACTACTACTACTACTACTACTACTATTACTACTACTACTAATAATAATAATTATAATAATTATAATTATAAATAAAATGAATGGCTCTCCTAACTTCTGTACATGATTCTTCTTCTTCTTCTTCTTCTTCTTCTTCTTCTGCTGCTGCTGCTGCTGCTTCTCCTTCTCCTCCCCCCTCCCTCCTTCTTCTTCTTCTTCTGCTGCTGCTCCTTCTTCTCCTCCTCCTCCTTCTTCTGCTGCTGATGTTGCTTCTTCTTCTTTTTTTTTTTTTTCTTCTTCTTCTTCTTCTTCTGTTTCTCCTTCTTCTCCTCCTCCTCCTCCTTCTTCTGCTGTTGCTGCTTCTTCTTCTTCTCCTCCTTCTTCTGCTGCTGATGTTGCTTCTTCTTTTTTTTTCTTCTTCTGCTTCTGTTTCTCCTTCTTCTTCTCCTCCCCCTTCTTCTTCTGCTGCTGCTTCTTCTTCATCTTCTTCTTCTAGTTTGAAGGCTGGTGCAGCTAAGGGGATTTGGTGGTTACATGTAGATGTGTGGTAATATTCTAACTGGGCCCTATATTCAAGCTTATGTGCTGATCTTATGAAAATCTCTCACCATATCGCGCATATTTGGCTGTGATACATGTGCCCAGTATACCTTATCAGACTTGGTGCCCTGATGGTTATGTGGGGCTTCGTATATTTCTACGCATCCTCACTTTGTAGTCGTGTGTTTCTAATAATAATAATAATAATAATAATAATAATAATATCAAGAAACCATAGACCATCTAATCTCCGGATAATTTGTACTAGAGGCAAATGAATATAAAATCCATCACAATAGAGTTGGACAATATTTCCACTTGACAATGTGCGAACACTTTGGCAAAGATGTTAATAAACACTGGTATGAACATCACCCAGCACCGGTTGCAGAAATAGAAGACAACACAATTCTATTGAATCTTTACAGGCAGGAGGATTGAAGCAAACAGACTGAATATAATTGTCAAAAACTGAAAAGAATAATCTCACCTTCTAATTGATATGGTTTGCCCAGCAGACTGTAACATAGCAACCAAGGAATTTGAAAAAGTATAAAGACCTGGAATAGAAAAAATGTGGAAATTAAAAACAAGAATAGTAACAGTCATAATAGGTGCGCTTGGAATGAATTGAAAAGGAACACAACAGCTAATTGAAAAAAAAAAACTGTGGAAATCCCAGCTCAAGAGAAATAAAAAGTTGTCTTGATAAATATAGCCCACATATTAAGAAAAACTTTATCCATGTAACTAGTGAAGTTATTGGTGTAAGGTAACCAAATCATGAAATGTAG